GCCTGGGTTATCATGAGAGCCCCTTCGCAATACACACCAGTACCTTTCATGGAAACTGCCCTCCACGGGCAGTTGGGAGGAGACAAACTTTTTAAAACTGTTTTCTTGTTTTCATAAGTCCCCCTTGCATGTCCAGTGTTAGCAGCAGAACTAGCTGCCTTTGATTCAGAGCAGAGCGGTGCTCCACAGGGTTTTCAATGGCTGGTTGGGGGGGGAGGGTTGGTGTCATGGTTGCGTGTTGGGCTGCTGGCTGCAAGGTCAGCAGTTCAAAACCACCAGCCGCTCCTGGGGAGACAGTAAGGTGGGGCTTTCTCCTCCCGTAATGAGATGAGGCCTTGGAAACCCCAGGGGCAGGTCTACCCTGTCCTATAGGGTCCCTGTGCGTCAGCATCGTCGCAATGGCGGTGAGTGTCATTTTTGTGGTTGTTGGGGTCGGGGTTGGGGTGAGTGGAGAAGCAGATCACAGACGTTTCTCCTGAGTCACGCGGTGGGTGAGCTCCAACTGCCAGCCCTTGGGGTAGCAGCCACGCACATGAACCTTTTACACCCCCCAGGGACTCTCTGCCCGGGCTACTGTGGTGGGGATGGTTAGGGGACATCCAGTCAGCTCAGAAGCTTCTCAGCCCAGTGCACAACAGAACAAAGCCCTGCGCCATCCACACAATTAGCGCTGTGTCTGAGCCCACGTTGCTGCCACAATGTCCGCATTTCAAGGAACGAGATGCAGTGGGTGTCCCCTTCCCCACCCCCAGGGGAGTAGTCTGGTCCCCGCTACCCTGCCAACCACGCTCTTTAATAACATATGGTTTTAAGAGCAGGCGCATTCAGGTTGAAGGTCTATTTAATTTAAGATCAAAGTAAACCGAGCCAGGGATCTTTACGGAGCAGTGCCGCGGTTCTTTCTGCTTCTCTGTAGGTGCCTGCCATCAGGGATGAGACTGTCAGAGAGGCGATTCAACAACGAAACCACAAAACCGGCTGGAGCACAACAGGGCCTTTTTGTCCTGCTCAGCCTCTTCTCTGCTCGAGCTAACTTGGCTCCAGGGAGCCCACTGCGTTCCCGTTCCCAGGCCAAAATGCCTGCGCCCAGCTGGTTGGGGAAAAGGGTGCAGTAATCGTTCTTCAAGTTGCCGTTGCTATGGAAACTCTTCTTGCCATTGCTGATGGCCACAGTGCCCTGTCACTCTCCAGGGACCTGCTACTGCTTCTAATCAGAGCATCGACAGAATTCGGCAAGGCAATGCTTTTCTGCTGCCAGGAGACCTGGTGACATCGAGCTTAAAGCACCCGGCAGATAACCCAGAGGTCGGCTGTTCAAACCTACCCCCAGTGGCTCCACGGGAGAAAGAAGGGGTTGCTTGCTTCGGTGAAGGTTTCAAAGGCTGGAAACCATTCAGGGCAGTTCTGTTCTGCCCAAGAGTCAGAATCAACCCAGCAGCAGTGAGTGTGGCCTGAGGCTTTTGTGTTTGTTTGTTAATGATTTTCAAAGAGTCTGCCTCCACTTGGCCACCCCCTCCCTGGGACAACCAGTGCCTAGAGGGAGGTAAGAGATGAGAATCACGTAACAAAGAGTAAGTGCTGAAATCCTGGTGGGGACTGAGCATGATAGTGGGACAGGAGGAGA